ACTTGGCAGGTGGGGGTGGGCCGGAGGGCCCCGCGGTGCGGAGGAGGCCACGGCGCTGGGCTGTCCTGGAAAGGCGGGCCTCTCTCCGGGCTCCCCAGGGCTCTGGGCCCGTCCGCTCTTCGTTGCCTTGCTCACCTGCAGCTCACCCCCAAGCAAGAACGCCAATAAACCGTGTGTGCGGCCTGCTTCCCCCAGTCCTCGTTGCCGGCCCCGTGGGTCCTGGGGGGTCTGGGGTGGGGGCAGGGCTCTTCTGGGGAGAGGGCACAAGAACGTGCACCTGAGTCAAAAGGAGAGGGTGGCCAAGCTCAGTGGCTCGGCCTGTCGTCCCAGCACTTGGGGAGGCCGAGGCCGGTGGGCTGCCTGACACCGTGGACTTGAGACCAGCCCCGGAAACTTGGCGGGACCTCGTCTCTACGATATATCAAAAGTGAGCCAGGCCACCCATGCCTGTAGTTCCAGCTACTTGGAAGGCTGAGGCGGAAGGACTGATCTCCGGAGTCCAGCAGGTGGACGCTGGGGTGGCCGTGAGCGTGCCACTGCACTCCAGCCTGGGCGACGGAGTGAAACCTCGACTCAAAAAAGAGGGGTGCAGAGCCATCCCGAATGTCAAGTTGTCCAAGCCACCCCTCTTTATGAGCAGAGAGGCCGTGGCCCAGAGACCAGGGCACCGGAGGCTGCCAGGGCTGGGTCCAGCCGCAAGCCCCACACGTTCTCATCCCAGATGAGGGAGCTTAGGCTGAGGGGGCTGAGTGCCCGGGGCCTTGCAACTGGGTGTGGGCCCCGAGTCAGCCTTGCGTTTCTTTTGTTTTTCTCAGTTTAGAAAATAAGTTTATTTTCCAAGCAAATTAGAGAGAGGAAATTCACCCCCCAAAGCGGGAGGGGGCCAAAGCCAAGAAACATGGCAACAGCCGTCGCTCAGTGAGCACGTGGCTACGCCAGAGTCGAGTGAGGCCATGACCCATCCTCGCTCTTGAAGAGTCGGACAGGTTGTGCGCTGCGGTTCTAGGAGCTGTGCACACTCGCCCTTGCCACGGAAGTGCACACTGCATGCTTTCGGGCACATGGCTTTGAGCCAAGAGCACCTTGGCTTTGAGTTACTGGGAGAGCTGCTTGGGTCGCCCTGGGCTCTGCCTCCAGCTCACTGTGACTCCGTTTCCCCGAGCATTCCACACAGGACACAGCGGAGCCCTTGGGCGGGCAGCCTCCAGGGGGCGCTGAGCGCCCACCCCGGTGCGGCGTCCACGAGGGCGGGCTGGAGGCGGCGGGACGGGTGGCAGAAAGCCCTGCCTCGTCGGGACTGCAGGCCTGCGAGACCGCCGGGCGGGGTGAACGCCCTGGCGGCACGAGTCCTCTTTCCGGGGGGCGCTGGGCGGCCTCCTGCCCGTCTCCAGCCTGGGGGCGCGGATGGCGTCTTTCCCACCAGCCCCTCCCGGGCAGCTCGGC